AAGAGGTTTATTTTAAGGAACTGACTCATGGGATCGTGTGGGCTGGTGAGTCCAAAATCCAAAGGGCAGGCTGGAGACGCAGGGAAGAGAGGGTAGCACAGCTCAAATCCGAGACTGCATGGGGCAGAATTCCCTTCCTTAGGGACCTCCTTTTGGTCCCTTTAGGTCCTCAGGGGCTGCGGGTACAGCTCAGTGCCCAGCGCAAGCCCTTGGCTGCACACAGGAGACCCTGGCTTCACTGCTCGGCAATGCAGAAGAAAAACAAAACAAAAAGCAAGCCCTTCAACTGATTGGGTGAGGCCTGGCGCAAACTGAATGATACATCCAGGAAAAGTGAGAAGTGATAACCAAGGAGAAGAGAGAAGGGGGTAGTGGACGGAAAGTTACTGAGAGGAAATCAGAAGGAAAGAGGATTCTGCGGGAAAAAAGCTTCATCCTAAAAAGACTGAATAGGATTTTTTTTTTTTTTTGGATGTGTGTGCAGGTCCTGGGGATCAGACCCTGGGCCACTCTAATACTGAGATACATCCTCAGCCCCCTTTTTCCCCAGATACCAGGGTCTCCCTAAATTCCCAGGTGGAATTTGAATTTCCCGTCCTCCTGCTTCAGCCTCCCCAAATCCTGGGACTGCAGACACCCTCAATGCACCCTTTCTCTTGGAAGGATTAAAGCAGAAGGAAACCCCTACATGCGCTCCTCTTCCTTTTTTTTTTTTTTCCTTTTTGAGACAGGGTCTCGCTATGCAGTTCAGGCTGGCCTTGAGCTCACTTTGTAGCCCAGGCTGATCTCGAACTTGTGACGATCCTCCCCCTGCCCCTCCTGAGTGCTGAGATTGCAGGGATGCGCCACCACGGCCAGTGGGAACTTCACTATTATGCTGAGTGCAAGTGGTCTGTCAGGAAATTAAATCTGGCTGTTTTTTCTTCTGATTTCTGGGAAAGTCAGATAATAATATAACTTGGTTTGCTTACTTGGAATTTTAGTATTTATTTATTTGAGACAGGGTCTTGCTGTGTAGTCTAGGCTGACCTTGAAGTTGAAGTCACCGTGTAGCCCAGGCTGGTCTTGAACTTGTGACGATCCTCCTGCCTTCCCCGGCCACGTGCGGGGATGATAGGCATGTGCCACCATGCCCAGTGGAATTTTCTTTCTTTCTTTTCTTTTTGAGACAGGTACTCACTGTGGAGTTCCGGCCACCCACAAATTCACGTGATCCTCTTGCTTCAGCTTCTGGAGTGCTGGGATTACAGGCTTGTGCCACCATACCCAGATGGTGACTTGGAATTTTTGAGGGGGTGACTCCATTTTGATTTTTGTCTTAGTCTGGCCAGGGTTAGAACCAACAATGACCTTCTGTGCTTTTTACTTGGCAGGCTCGTCTGTCTTACTCCAAGTCTGCTGATGTAATCTCATTAAAAAGACCTACTTAAAGCCGGGCGTGGTGGCGCACGCCTGTAATCCCAGCACTTGGGAGGCTGAGGCAAGAGGATCGTTGCAAGTTCGAGACCAGCCTGGGCTACAAAGAGAGCTCAATGCCAGCCTGAACTGCATAGTGAGACCCTGACTCAAAAAAACAAAAAAAAAAAAAAAAGAAAAAAGACCTAGTTGAGGCTAGCGGTGTAGTTCAGTGGCAGTGGGTTCAGCTAGCAAGTGTGAAGCCCTGGGCTCCATCCCCAGCACCCCAAAAAAATTCAGACCAAAAGAAAATATCTTTAAGGTGATGATACAAGAGAAATACAACTCCCAGCCTGCTGGATGTCAGATGTCCCAGTTTGTTTCCCCTGAAATCAAAGAATGAATTCCGAAGGACAAAGGTGGTTAAGGGTAGGAAAGGTTTATTGGGGAATAGGAATAGCTCCTGAGAGATAGGAATCCTAGAAGTGCCTTGCCACCAAGGCCCAGGTAAATTAAACAACAAATTTGGTTACAACATGGGTCAAACTGATATAGGGGAACTATAACTCCCAACCTGCTAGATATCCAGTATGAGTTTGTGTTCTCTAAAATTGAAGAATGAATTCTAGGAACAATGGAGGTTAAGAGCAGAATCTATTTATCACAGAAAGACAGCTATATTTATTATGGGAAAGAAAGGTTCTGTCTAAGGGAGACAGAAGGGGAACTGTGTAGGTTGCAGAGGATCCAGCTTTTCCAGGGAGTTTTATAGAGCAAAACCAAGAGGGGAGGCGGTTCCAAGGCAGGAAAAACTATAATCAACTAATATTACAAGTACAGTTGCTCAGGTAACATGGGTCCAATGGGACATCATGAGCTGGGCAGGAGGTGGGACAAAACTATGGTAAACCAATAAGATCATGAGATCATGAAAGATGGAATGTTTGAGCCCAACCTGGGCAATTCAGTGAATTAGTAAAACCCTGTGTTAAGATTTTATTTTTGGTGTTTTTTTTTTTTTCCTCCGGTCCTGGGAATCGAACTCACAACCTTGCGCTTGCCAGGCAGGCGCTGTGCTGCTGAGCTAAATCCCCAGCCCTCCGTGTGTTAAGATTTTAATAATCACTTAGATAATATTGATTGATTGGGGATCAAATGAGGAGGTACATAACAAGTGCATACAGACTGAAGAGGGGGTCTTTCTAGAGGGGGTGGGTCAGTGGCTCTTCCTGGCCCCCCCCATGATTGATACCTATTTAGAATATTGGTCACTTGCTGTTCATTCTTAGGGGAAGTATGTGGGTGTAGTCATTCTAACTTTTGTCTTTTTTTTTTAAAATCTCTTTCAGACAGGGTCTCGCTATGCAGTTCAGGCTGGCCTTGAGCTCACTTTGTAGCCCAGGCTGGTCTTGAACTCACAATGATCCTCCTGCCTCAGCCTCCTGAGGGCTGGGATTACTATCTTTTGTCTTGAGGTCTAGCCTTTAACAAATGCGGCTCCCTCATAGTTGCAATGTATTCTCATCTTCTGCACTGACTCTGGATGATTGATCCATGTCTACCTGCCTATAGTATTTCTACCTAATTTAGCTGTCTATAATAACATTAACCCAATTTGGTTTTTTGAGACAGGGTCTCACTATGTAGTTCAGGATGGCCTGGAACTCACAGTAATCCTCCCCTGGAGTGCTAAGATTACAGGCATGTGATACCAGGCCTGGCCTATCGTCTATGACTTCTAAGGCAGGAACATTTGGTGGGAAGGGATGAGCCTGTGTTTTGGTCACTGATGTATATATGGACCTACTGGACTGCTGATACTCATTGCAATGAAATCTCAAGTTTCCGCTCATCTGTTAGGGAAGTGTGCAAGTCTAGTCACTGCGTCTTTAATCTCTCTTTGTTTTTTGTTTTTTGGTACCGGGAATCAAACTCAGGACCTTGCACTTGCCAGGCAGGTGCTTGTGCTGCTGAGCATATCCCTGGTCCTGTGACTTTAATCTCAAGGCCTGGCCTTCTTCAGATGTGCCTCCAACCACAATTCTGATGTCTTTATTTTTGTGCTGACTTCCTTGAGAGCCCATTCCCTTTGTGACTATATTAATTAATTATTATTTAATTTAGCTTCCTATAAAAGTGACATCCAAGCTGGGCGTGGTGGCGCATGCCTATAATCCCGGCACTCCGGAGGCTGAGGCTGAGGGTTGTTGTGAGTTTGAGACCAGCCTGGGCTACAAAGTGAGCTCAAGGCCAGTCTGAACTGCAGAATGAGACCCTGTCTCAAAAAAAAAACCAAACAAAAAAAACCCCAAAAAAACCGAAAACCCAAAACCCAGACTACTGCTTGGTTAAAAACTCAGCTCCTAGCCATACTTGGTGGTGCCGGTCTGTCACTCAAGCACTTGGGAGGCTGAAGCAGTAGGACTGGCCCACGTTCAAGGCCAGCCTGGACTACAGAGAGAGGTCAAGGCTAGCCTGAAGTACATAGCAAGACCCTGGCTCAATAAACCAAAACTCCGGTCCATGGCCTGGCCCAGGGGACAAAGGAATTAAATCATTGCCTCGGGACACTTGACACTTTCATTACTGTTTTCCTCCAGAATCATTGCCATGATACTTCCTATTAAAACGGAAGGAAGTTCTCTGTGGGAAGGAGCTTTCATTATATTCACCAGATCAATGGCCAATAGCTGATGCATAGTAGGTGCTCAATAAACAGTATTATTAACCAGACATGGAGGCCTATACTTGTTATACCAGCACTCTGGGAGGCAGAGGCATAAAGATGGAATGTTTCAGCCCAATTTGGGCTATTCAGGGGACTTAGTAAGACTCTTTGTTAAAATTTAACAAAAGGATAAAAGGGCTGGAGATGTAGCTCAGTGCGAAGGCCCTGGGTTCAATTCAGAGTACTAAGGGAAAAAACGACCGAGAACCCAGAATTATTGCGGAAAGAGCGCTGTGCTTGGAGTTACAGCAGGGTCCTGGACTCGGTATCCTCTATTAAAAGACAACTGATGGTTTTGTATAGCGGGGTTTGGGGAGGCGGGATTCGAACTCGACACCCTTCGCAGCCCGCCCGCAGGGATTCCCGGGGACCCCGTTTCCGGCCAGCGGGGGCGTTCGAGGGCAGCCGAGGACGTGCGTGCCAAGCGTGCGTGCGTGCGTGCGTGGGGTACGCACTGGCGGGCGAGTCCACGGGGGCGGGACGATAGAGGGGTGGCGCGCGCGCCGCAGCGGGCGGGGCTGCTTCCGCGAACCGCCTCCTCACGCTGGCCCCCCCCGCGCGCGCGCGGGAGTGGTTTCACCCAGCCCCCGGCTCATTGTGCTCACCTCACGCCGGGCCAAGATGGCGGCGGCGCTGGAGGCCCCGGGCCTGTGACCACAAAGAGGGAGCTGGGGGCCGGACGGGAGCGCGGCGGCGGCGGCGGCCGGCCGAGGCCCACCCAGCCCCCCCCCCCCCCCCCCCCATGGCCCACCCCCCCCCCCCCCGCGCGCGCGCGGC